TCATAACCCATCTGTGGCTTCCATTCCATCAGATCTGATGTCCTCTTCTGGCCTCTGTGGGCACCAGGCATGCATATGGTACACAGACATATGTGCCGGCAAAACACCCATACACATTAAATGAATTAAAAATAGTGTCAAAAGCTTGTGAGGGTAGGAACCCAGACATGGGGGCAAGCATATGTGCACAGTTTCTAATCGTGTGCAGGTGCTATCTACTTAAGTAGCTCACATAAAATTTTAAACTTGGGTTTCTTTACAGTTTTTTTCTTACACTGATTTGTGTATATTCTCTGGATGTGTGTGTACAGAGTTAGAAGTCAATTTATGAGAGCCAAATATTTATTTTTGCCTTTGTATGGGTTCCTGGGATTGAGCTCAGATTGTCAGACCTAACAGCAAGCTCATTTACATAATGAGCCATCTCCCTAGCCCATTGAATTTCTTTTAAAAAGAGCTTGACTGAGTGGTTGGTGAGTGTGTTCTTGACCCTCGGCAGGAGCCCAGAAACAGAACACGGACATTCCCCGACCCCTTTCACTCCCCGGTCATTCGGCAGGGGCTGCTCCCCTCTGCTGGGGCCTCTCTCTCCCTAACCCATCCCAGTTTGCACCCAGGAAACTCCTCCCTTCTTCCTCCCTTCCGTGGGGCCACGGGATCCACCAGCTCAGCCTGTTTGGGCGCTGGGTCGGGGTGCTGAGGGCAAGAAGTGGTTGGAAGTTCCTTTGCTTCAATAGCCTGACTGCAGCAAGGTAGGCCTTTTGTCAGCAAGGTCCCTGGCCAGCAAGGGAACCTGATCCTACTCCATAAGATCCATCGGATAGCATTTGAAGGAAGAGATGGGCAGGTGCCAAGGCAAGAATTCCTCCACCAATCTGAAAAACAACATGAAAACACCAGAACCCAGTGATCTTACAACAGAAGGTCTTGAACACCCTAATGCAGAAGAAGGGGAAAAATTGACACATTATGAAAGGGATAGAGTCCCTTAAACAGCATATAAAAATGCCCTTATAGAAATGGATGAGAAGTATAACAAAAAGTTTGAAGAAATGAATAAATACGTAAATGATACCCTGGGAAACCAAGAAAAAAACAATCAAACAGGTAATGGAAACAGTTCAAAACTTGAAAACTGAAATGGAGGCAAGGAAGAAAACACAAACCGAGGGCTGACTGGATATGGGAAATCTAGGTCAACGAACAGAGACTACAGAAACAAGCGTAACTAATAGAATACAAGAGATAGAAGAAAGAATCTCAGACTCTGGAGACACCATAGAGAAAATAAATGCACTGATCAAAGAAAACAGCAAATCCAACAAATTCTCATCACGAAACATTGAGGAAATACGGGACACAATAAAAAGACCAAATCTAAGAATAATAGGGATAGAAAAAGGAGAATTACAGCTCAAAGGCCCAGAAAATGTATTTAACAAAATTATGTAAGAAAACTTTCCCAACATAAAGAAAGATATTCCTATGAATATTCAAGAAGCATACAGAAAACCAAATAGACTGGATCAAAAAAATCCCCTCACCATATAATAATCAAAACACAAAATATACAGATTAAAGAAAGAATATTAAGAGCTGCAAAGGAAAAAGGTCAAGTAACTTATAAAGGTAAACCTATCAGACTCATACCAGACTTCTCTATGGAAACCATGAAAGCCAGAAGGTCCTGGATAAAGGTACTACAGAAACTAAGAGACCACAGATGCAAGCCCAGACTACTATACCCAGCCAAGCTGTCATTCACTATCAATGGAGAAAACAAAATATTCCAGGATAAGAACAAATTTAAACTATATGTAGCCACAAATCCAGCCTTACAGAAAGTAATAGAAGGAAAATCATAACCTAAGGAATCCAACATTGCCAACGCTGCTAATAATAACTCAGACAACTAGTGACCCTTCACCAGCACAATTCAAAGAAGGGAAACACACAAACTCTACTACCAAAAAAATAATAACAACCAGAGTCAACAACCACTGGTCATTAATATCACTTAAAAAGAGCTTGACTATTACTTTTATTTTTTTTAATCATAGAGGGGTGGAGAATCTAGAAATAATTAGGCTAAAATTATTATAATGTTGTTAAGTTACCATCTTATAGAGGTGTTTTCCCTAAGTGAGCTAGATAAGTTTGATTTATTGAAATGACTTTTAAAATTAGGCTCTGAATTTGCAACAGACATGTGAATCATCAGTTTTTGCTTGGTTCATGTTGTTGAGATACAGCTTAAATTTTATGCATATATACTCGGATGTGTATGCGATCTTATAGAAAGGATCTCAACTTCAAACTCAGAGAGCAAAAGAAAGTAGGGTCTGAAAGAGACAGAAGAATAGGGGAAAGGGGAGAGAGGTGGGAAGGGAGGGAGGGGAGGGAGGGAGGGAAGAGAACACAATACTCACTACATGCAGAGGTTTAAAAGGAAGTACTACAATTGGGTCTATTCAAAGGAGTGTCTATGTCATCTGAGACCCAGGACAAAGGAGATCTGTAGTTTTGTATCCACAATCTTGCCTTGTTCAAAGAGGAAATATAGCTCCTGGTGGCACTGAGGCCAGAAGTTGGTAGGGTTGAGGTTCGCCCCTTGTTCAGCCTGTAGACCTTGGGATGACCTTGTATTAGTCATGCCCCTCTGGGCCAGTACCTCATCTCATGCCCTTGGGAGGGTGGTGCCCTCTCTGAGGTTTGTGCTTGGATGAATTACCGACCGCAGTGAAGCAGTCTCTTGAATCAGCCCTCTGCCTTGTGGACCCAAACAAGAAAAGCATCCTTCATTCACATGTATTCCCACCAGTCGTGCTCGCCTGGGTGTGGTGCTTTCATTGCCTCAGACGAGGAGCAGGGGCTCATTCCCTCTGGCCCAATATTTTAAAATAGAACCCACCAAGAGGTAAGTCTTGCACTATGTACACCCTTAAGGAGTGTTTCTATTCATGTGTTCAACACACAATTCAAAACATCCTTCACTTTCATAATTGTGCACAATGGCATCTGTAACTTAGTCGGACTGTGAAAACCTAGCTTTCTGTAATGATTGCTGATGTTTGGCCACTTTGGACTTGCAAAATCAATACTTTCATAAGGTTCAACCTGTCTGCACCAGAGGACAACCCTACCCTTCCTCTTTTGCTAGTTCATCCTTATGACCCTGCTGGTGCAGACTTCCTGGCCCTTCAGCTGTAAATCAGGAGGGCGGAGGAGTTCCTAGGGAGCTATTGACTGGGTCATCACAGCTGGCCTGAGCTCTGAAGTGAGGACAGTCAGCAGTGGACACAGTTAATTCATCCATAGAGGGAGGAAGATATTGAGCAAAATACCTCACTGGAGTGATGGATTTAGATGGTGTCGGGGACACGCAAACAGTTCAGCGATTGCTACTACATCAAATGTGACTTTTGGCATTGAGGGTAGGCTTACAGCTCCAGAGACAGTCTCAGGTCAGGATCTGACTCAGTGTTAAGACATTCTGACTTGTGGCTCACGCTCACGTATTTCGATGAGATCAGTTGCATTTGACATTGAAAACATAAGAGACAACCAGATCCTGATAGAAAATGATGCAAACAGAATTATTGTTATCAGTGGGAATATGGAGGAGATAGAGTTTGGGATGTGGATCTAGGAAAGAAAGCAAACATGATCAGAAGTGATGGAAGGATGAGAGTAATAGCTGAGGAATTAAGTACCATAAAAGGTCGTTGTGTTCTAGAACAGTGCCAGTGGCTGTGGCAGGATTTAGGGATGATCAGGGAGCTCAGATCCTTTCAACGCTACTTGTCTGAGTTCAGTGAGAACTCTCATCAAGCACTTAGCGTGCCAAAAATAAGAAATGAGGTGACACTGGGTAGAAGCATGTTATGAGTTTATGACAAATTGCCCCACCATTAAATGTAATTCCATAGCAGGTATGCACTCTAGTATAAAACCCAGAGTAGCCAACCATCGTCTTTGCATAGTGACATCTCCTTTTGTCAGGATTCAGTCTTTTTGACATCAAATTAGATTTTAATATCAACTGTAACAGGACACGAAGCACGATTAATAAAAACTCAGAGAGAGGGAAATTGGGGTTCAATTTAAAGACCAGAAAAGCAAAGCAGCCTGATGGAGGAAGGTCATTGGCTAATAAAGAAACTGGCTTGGCCCATTTTATTGGTTAGAACATAGGTGGGTGGAGTAAACAGAGGGAAATGCTGGGAGGAAGAGGAAGTGAGGTCAGACTCTGCTCTGCTCCCGGAGAGACCCGACAGCTCTGCTCTCTGGAGCAGAGATGCCATGCTCAGCTCTCCCGGGTAGACTCGACAGCTCTGCTCTCTGAAGCAGAGACATCAGGCTCCACTCTCCCAGGCAGCTCTGACCCAGGATGGACGTAGGCTAGAATCTTCCCAGTAAGCACCTTGGGGTGCTTACACACATTACTAGAAATGGGTTAGTCCAGGTGCGAGAGTTAGCTGAGAAGAGGCTAGATAGAAATGGGCCAAGCGGTGTTTAAATGAATACAGTTTGTGTGTTGTTATTTCGGGCATTAGCTAGCCAGGCAGCCGGGGTGCTGGGGACGTAGCCCCGCCGCTCCTATTTCAACAGCAGCCAGCTACTGGCTCTTATCTTGACCTCAGTCCAAAATTGCCATCCGGCCTCCAGGAATCTCAGAATGGGATTGTGTCTGAGAGCTGTTTCCTCCTGTTTTATAATCCTTTCTAGGGCTGGGATTATAGGCATGCACCACTGGGATTAAAGGCGTGTCCTGTGCAGTTTCTTTGGCAACTAGTGTGTATATTGGGATTAAAGGTATGTGTTACCACTATCTTGTCTTCCAGTAGGAAGCTGGGCAGTGGTGGCGCATGCCTTTAATCCCAGCACTTGGGTGGCAAAGGCAGGTGGACCTCTGTGAGTTTGAGGCCAGCCTGGGCTGCAAGAGCTCCAAAGCTACAGAAGAACCCTATCTAGAGCCCTTTTGGCTCATCAGCAGTCAGTGAGGCAACATGGGTCACCAGCAGCTCTACTGGAGTCACCCACGGAAGTTCTGCCAGGGATCCCGCTCCTGCTGCATCTGCTCAAACCGCCATAGTCTGATCCAGAAATACGTAAGGGCTGAACATGTGCTGCCAGTGTTTCCAGCAGTATGCGAAGGACATCGGCTTCATTAAGTTGGACTAAGCGACCTTGAATGGATTCTTCAAGACTTTACCCAGTGGAAAAGATCAATGCCAGTCTTCCTACACAAGAATTTAAAAAAAAAAGTGAAGACCTTCGAAAAACAACAACAAAACAACAACAACAAAAACAACAACAACAAAAACCCTCTCTTGAAAAACCAAGGGGGGGGGGAGACTGATCAGTGGGGATATTTTACTCTCAGATCTTCAGGCAAGCTTAATTAAAATACAATCAAAATGTCACTACAAGGACATTTTATTAAATGACCAAAATAGGATCTTATTTTTAAAAGTGAATACAGGTCCACCCTTTCCTATACCTAAGAATATTTTTAAAGCTAATATTATCTGTTTGCATGTCTGACTTATGCAAAACATTCTTTAGGAAAGGACATTGTTACTAGAAGGAACTAAAACAAGCCAGTTGTGGAATGAGTAATGGGATAATCAAGGAATAATGTAGACAAGTAGTAAATTTAAGGTTAAATGTCCGATGCGTATGATATGATACGCTTATTAATTTGTGATGTTAGGAAGCCCTCAGTGCTTGCAGGGTCAGTGGGAGGGGGGCATTTACTGGCCTCTGTCTCCCATGCAGGGAGAGTAGCACCAGGCCCACATTCCTGCCCTGTACTGTCATCCTTGTGTTGTCGTAAGCCTTTGTTTCCTGCCTGGGTCTCTGAGAAATGCAGAGCTGACTTTCTTAGGACAGAGCTTCCAAAGTCTTAGCTTTACTCTCTGGCTGACCATCCAACCTTCCTGATCCTGATACATAAGTGTGGATAGACAACTATTTATAATAATGCATCCCGTGCTGATGCCAGTGTCCTGGCTTTTTAAAAATCCTAAACACAAGCCCGGCAATGGTGACGCACATCTTTAATTCCAGCACTCGGGAGGCAGAGGCAGTCAGATCTCTATGAGTTCGAGGCCAGCCTGGTCTACAAGAGCTACTTCTAGGACAGGCTCTAAAGCTACAGGAAACCCTGTCTCAAAAAACCAAACCAAACCAAACAAAAAATCCTAAACACCAGAAGGACTAAGATTAAACAGAAAATAAAACAGAAAATTAAAGGCTAGGGATATAGTTCGATGCTAGAAGGCAACTTAGCAAGTTCAAGGGTCTGTCTCAGGTCTGTCCAGCTCCATCCTTTTCCTCAAGTCCTACTATACAAGCTTATTTCCAGTTTTTCTTGGAGCTCTAGAATAAAGTTGCAGTGCCCAGTGCAGGCAACAAATGGAAATGTCAAAGGGCTGAGAGTCTCACCCACTTTACTGCTATCCTTGTTCCTGCTTTTACAGGAACTTTGTATGGTTTTATAGTCTTTGGAGTTTTGTAGACTATGAACATGAAAAGTCATAGTTGGGGGGCTGGAGAGATGGCTCAGAGGTTAAGAGCATTGCCTGCTCTTCCAAAGGTCCTGAGTTCAATTCCCAGCAACCACATAGTGGCTCACAACCATCTGTAATGGGGTCTGGTGCCCTCTTCTGGCCTGCAAACATACACACAGACAGAATACTGTATACATAATAAATAAACATTTTTTAAAAAAGAAAAGTCATAGTTGGATCAAAAATCTCAAATAGAGTGAGTGACTCTAAGACTCTTCTAGGAGTTCAGATCTCCATGAAAATATTGAGTTCATAAATAAGACAAAAGTCTGGAGTTAATAGGCTGGCTTTGGTATGTCTGAACTAGACTGGGGTGTGACTCAATATTGTAAATGTCTTGGACATATGCAAACAGTTGTGAATACCACCCTTTTGAGAGTGATATGTGAATAGGAAGTCCTAATAACATGACTGGGCTGTTTTATCTCTGGAGGAAAGTCATGAGTGTTCATCTGTTGGAGAAAGGGCTGTAGGCTGTAGAAGCTGGGTAAGACTGTGTAAGTCTACAATCTTAGGACGTTGGTGGCTTAGACAGGAGCATGGTAAGTTCAAGGCCAGTGTATGTGACACAGTGAGACCTTGTCTCAAGAGAGAGAGAGAGAGAGAGAGAGAGAGAGAGAGAGAGAGAGAGAGAATTTAGAAGAATAAAGGAAGAAAGGAGGGAATGAGGGATGGTGGTCATCTGCGCTCCTCTAGGTAGATTCAGAGAGCAGACATGGAGACGACTGTCACAACTCTAAGGCTGCTCCATTCTTCGGAGGACAGACTGAGTTCAAGCTGCTGGCTCTTGTGGAAGAAATGTGAAAAACTGTCAATATGAAGATGGAGTAGCTTGTGTCAACCCTAGCAAAACAACCCAAAAGCCAGGAAATTATGAAAGAAAATGTCTTGCGTGAGTCACAAGTTCAGTGGTTACTAAAGCCTCATTTAAAAAGTACTTCCATGGGACTGTTTGCCCAGCAATTGCCTTTTCAGCCTTGGGCCGATGCCAGTCTTGATATTATTCACATGGCCAAAGACTACCATTTTGAAATAACTAATGTGAGTCCGGGAGATGGTTCAATGGGTGAAGGGCTTGTCTCCAAATCCCAGAGTTTTTACTTTGCTTCAGTTTTTTGAGTATTCCCAAAATTTAGTGAAGCATATTCCCACTAAAATGTCCTGCCATCCTTAAGGAATATTACCATTCTTTGGAGAGCATTTCTCTCATTCTGCTTTCCTTAGTTCAGCTGATGGGAGCTTTGCTGAAACTTCACACTTGCGGATGAGCTTCCTTTTTTTTGCCTCCATGACCACTCTTCTCTTGCTGTGTTCTAAGTAACCCCCCCGGCACACACACACACACACACACACACACACACACACACACACACACACAAGTTAGGGCCTGTTGATATTCTGTCATGAGGTTTGGGCTCATAAATCCTTGAAAATGTATAGGCAGTTAATGGTTTCCAGGAGTGGGAGAGGCATTTCCTTTTTTTTCTTTTTGTTTTTCTTTTCTCTTCTTTCTTTTTTGTTTGTTTTTGTTGTTGTTGTTGTTTGTTTTTCCAAGACAGGGTTTCTCTGTTTCTTTGGAGCCTGTCCTGGAACTAGCTCTTGTAGACCAGGCTGGCCTCAAACTCACAGAGATTCACCTGCCTCTGCCTCCCTAGTGTTGGAATTAAAGATGTGGACCATCACCGCTTGGTGGGAGAGACATTTCTTTTGTGGTGTAGTCACTGGCAAGTTTCTCCTGCTAATAGTCTCTCCCCCATGCTCCTGTAAGCCACACTATTAAACTCATTGAAGAAGGAAAAAAAAAAACATGAAAACAGAATCTAGCAGGGACTAGATGGGAAAAGGAGAGGAATTATCAGGATGGAGAGGACAATAACAGGGGGTGAGTATGATCAAAATACATTATAAACATGTATGGAAATAGAATGAAAACATTATTCTGTATAAATAATATATGGTAATAAAAGATCCTATAAAAGAAAAGAATTCCAGTGGTGTTCCGTGTTTTATCTAGCCTCCATCCCTCTTAGTTCAAACTATCAGTTCTGCTGGGATGGCTGGTTACATTTCTGCCTAGATTCACTGCCTCACCAACTGATTGCCAGTTACATACTGAGTATTTGTTTTCAGGGCATTTGTTCCAACTGTTTCTTTTTTTCCCCTCTCCAATAAGCCTTTTTGATTAAAATACTTTCACATTCTTTGGTACTGTTGTAACAGTGCTTGACTTCTTGGTAACAAGATTTGTTCTCCAGAACTCTCTGGACAGTCTTGTGGTGTGTGTGTGTGTGTGTATGTGTGTGTGTGTGTGTGTGTGTGAGAGAGAGAGAGAGGGGGGGGGGTATACACACCTACAGAGACATACACACATATGCATGCACAGATAGAGAGGGGAGGGGACAGGGAGAGGCTGAGCAACAGAGATGAACTAAAGAGGGCCACTGCATCAAGCTGGAAACTGAGTCAGTGGTGTATCATCACAGTCTAGAGTGAGACTTGTGAGCAGTTTGAAAGCCGTCAGGCAGAAAGGAAGAATTTTTTTCTGGTTTTGCCTTTTTTGGAGGGAAGAATCTATTTAGATCTTCAAAAAGTTGGATAGAACCCACACACATTGCGTAGGGCAACCTTCTCTACCCACTGCGCTGATCCAATGTGAATTTATCTGGAAGCATCCTTACACACGCTCTCGGAAGTAATATTTAATCAAATATATAGATACCCTATGACCCAGTCAAGTTCAAGCATAAAATTAACCATCAAAGTAAGTGATGGAGCCCAGATACCGAGCTTAAAGTGTGGGATTTAATTACAATGCTCCACTGCCTGCCCATATAAATATTATTTATTCATTCTTGAGTCAGTTGCTTAACAACTCCACGAAGACTTAAGAAGCTGTTTAGCTCACTAACTTAACGATCTCCTAGTTGCCGTGTCTGAAATAGCTTCAGCAGTAACAATAGCAACAGCCCTGGTCCCACTGTTACTCAACAGGCATTGAGAAGAATGTGAAAGAATTATGAAAATAATGAAACTTTTTTACATTTATTTATTTATCTACTTTTTGTTTGTTTGTTTCTTTAGTGTGTGTTACATGTGCATGGCACGGCACTCATGTGGAGGAGGTTAGAGGACAATTTATGGAACCACGTGTGTTCTGGGGATCAAATTCAGGACATCAGACTGGTGACACACATTTTCACCCACTGAGCCATCTCACTGGCTATGAAAACGATTTCTAAGCCACGAAGCCCGATGTAATGATGTTCACTGAATTGTGAAAACTGCTAACTGGTTAACATTTCGGAAGGCAAATCTTGGGATGGTGGTGGCTGTCACCTTAGCCTGTGTTCCTCAAGGGTCTCCTGTGTGTTAGGTACTGTCTGTAGCCCTTAGTGAGACGCTCTGCTCAGCATCTCCTGGGGTAGCGGGGTGGGTCTGGAATTAGGAGAGCAAACTGACGTTAGGCAAAGGGGGGATACTTCATAAAGCATTGCCTGCCCTGCTAAGAACTAAGCTGAAGGGTGGTTAGAGGCAGAGTTTTTGCTACAGAATTCACTGCAGTAATTTATCTCTTGCTCTTTTGCTGTCTCACCGACCACCCGGGGTTTCCATACCTGCTTCACTGTGTT